TATAATGACGAGTAATTTTATTTCTTATTATTCAGTTATTTATTAGAAAAGTTATATATTTGCACTATTTATACATTGTAAATATTTTAAGGCGATGCTAAAGCCTCCTGTTTTACCCACATTTCCATTCGGTGAAAAATCTCTGTATTAATACCCTCATTTTATACGTATGATTATATTAATTAGATATAGCAAAACCAAGAGCATTTGAATAATTAAATGTACTCTTACAAAAACAAATATATAATTTAAATATGAATTTTTTCACGGTATAAAGAAGATTGGCACTTTTTAATATTAAATATGTTTTTCAGATATATATTTGCTTGATATAAGAGTTTTAGAGTCCATATCTTGAAAATAAGCGTGCAGCTGAGGTCACATTATTGAAACGAACGATACCGAGTATACATCGTAAATATTTTAAGCTTGAAACTGGAGATATTATTCACAGTCTTCGTAACTTAGTTTTTTGTTTGGTTCTATTCCGTGCTATGGACGCACATGGCTGCGTTTCGAGTTACGTATGAAGCGCATGACGACATTTTATCTTTCTTTATCATTTGACGAGCAACACGAACAAATGATGCATCATGCGCTTCATATCTCGGAACGCATTTATTACCCCGGATCTACAATAGGTGCACTATTAGAAATGTTCTTAAATTTCATTAACTTTTAATATACATTGGTGAATGAAGTTTAATTTCTCTGTAACTGAAAGGACTATTAATGCACATGTTAATGAGATTTAAGTTTACAGTATCTGAAAAATTAAGTGTAATAAAATTTAATATACTTTTTATTTACGGATATAAATGACATTTAATTAATCGTAATTGAAATAACTATTAACGTACGTACTAATAAAATTTAAGTTTGTAGTACATTAAATTTGAATACGCTTAACTGAAAAATTAAGCGCGTTGAAATTTAAAATACTTTTACATTTACGAATATTAATAATATTTTAATTAAGCCTGATACTATTAACGCTTAACGTTTAATACGTTTACGTTTCTTACATGTTATTAACGTAAATTACTTTTCAGTTACAGATCTCGTACTTTTCATTAACGTGTAAATTAATTTCTATAATAATGTGTTCATTAATTTCAATACACACGTTCATCACATTTAAGAATACTGTAACTTAATTTTTATTTACATCATACATTACATTTAATTTCGTGTATAACCACATGCTTCCTTTACATGTTAATTAAAATTCATTGAGAAATTTCTAACAGTGTGTTTTAAGGCTTAAGCCGTAAGAAATTGACCAATTACATTCGAATCGAGTACGCTACTGTGATTCGCCCATTTCTTATGGCTTATGGAATAAAGTCCTATTGTAGATCCGTACTTATCAATATGTTACTCACAGAAATATCTGTTCGACATAAACGATTTGTCCACATAAAGGCGTCACTAAAAGGAGATTTGTCTAAAACGCGGATATGTCCTCTCTACTCCACTTTACTCTCAGATTTCCATCTGCATTAAACTAGAATAACCCAGCCTAACATTTCTGAACTAGGGTAGTCATGAAATAATGATTGATGGTAGTTCTTGTTTCTGACACAGTTAAATTAAAGATGCACAATTTTTCTGTAAAATTTCTAATTTATCCTCATAATATAATGTAACTTAACCAAATTATTGTTTTCAATTAAAGTTTAATCTTTATAATCACACATCAACAAAATTAAATATCGCATAATCAGAAAACCAAATGTCAAACGTGGTTAACAGAAGTGCACCCAACTCAGCAAACGAGAAAACGGATTAGAATGGATAAATTCACATGAATCAAATTTTTGAATCCGTGTTATCCGCGAAAAAATATTGTATTTATCGCTATAAAAAATGTTCCTTAAGATATGTTAAATCGCGCTAATATTGTTTGTATATTGAATAGTTTCTATAATCTATGTGTTTTTAGATTTTAATATTCAGTACTCTGATAAGTAACTTCTAATGTATCGTTTAAATATCTATTTATCATTTGAACTTAAATTTAACAATATATATAATAAATATAAATTTTGAAAATTAACAAACACAATTTATAAGTCTCAAAAAAACCGAATTTTTACAAAAATAAATGTAACGAGGGCGTTATTATTATTTTAATTTCAGTTATAATCTTTAGTTTAAAATCGACCTTTACAATATACTGTTTCACATTTGTATCAGTGTCACTCTAATATAAAACAACAAGTAATAATCAAATACGACAGTTACCTCGAGGATCCTGTCAGAACATCACCTTAACTAATTTAGAAAAGAAAACCGCACTGTTATAAATTAGGAGTTACGCAAGTCTATGGAGTACTAAATTTTTCTACAAAGGCAGCAACAAAACAAGCAAGTGGGTCATAAAAACAAGACAATAGGCAGTAGGCAGTAGACCTTTCTTTATCTAAATGTTTGATTTCCCAAACAGAACGTGACGTACATTGGATGTAATAATTTGTAAGTGTTTGTTAAGCCTAAATCACGAAAATTCATACGTCTTTTACATATATGAAATAATTAAAATCGCATAACATTTATAACTTTTTACAGAAATCTTGGAACAAATTATATATTCACAACAAAGATCTTCAAATTTTGTATATTATCAGCAACGTATATTATTAGCAACCTAAATTACCAATTTATCTGGTTCTTAGTAATATATAATTACAATATAAGACTTACATTGTCTTTGCACAATGGTAAATAATTGCTATGATGCGTATATTAATAAAAACTATTTTTATTCCATATTAATCACTTCACTCGAGAAGTTACATGTATTAGAGTTATATAATATTAAGTATAATTATTTTAAACTTGTAGCATAAGGACTGCCAATTACAAATCTAATTTAAATAATTATTTTCAATACAGAGAGGTAAGAGAAAAAGCCGTGCAATTTTTGGAGATAAGCGAATTAAGAGACAACGTTTTCACTCAGAAGATTTGACAAAAATATATTTAGCACATTTGAAGTTTTGCACTCCACTGACCTTGTACTTTCTGACCATGAATAACACTACAATGTGGCTAAATTTAACAGATGTGAACATATCAAATAATAAAATTGATGTGTTGCCGAAAAAATTGGGCGCTTTTCATTGTCTTCGACGGCTTAATTTATCACATAATTGTTTGAGTCGATATTCTGGATGGGTATGGCTAAAAGAAGCACGCATTAAGAGAACTTTACATTTTCTAGATATAAGTAACAATTCGGTAAGTCATTATAAGATATCACGGCAATCACTAATCAAAGCGGTGTTGTCATAAATAACAATTAATAGTTCATTAATAGCACGGTCAACATGAATATCATTAATTTACAGTTGCTCGAAATATCGGAATACATTTGGAGTTTGAATGCATTAGTAGAATTGAAAATGAGTCACAACTTGTTGGGACGTTTACCACAGGGCATTGAAAAGGTTCGAAATCTTAGTATTTTGGATTTGTCGCATAACATGTTAATGTATCTACCAGCAGGGCTCACTTATTTGCGACTGCAAACTATAAATATTTCAAACAATCCATTAGAAGTCAAACCCACAATTTGTGTTGAAAAAAACCCAAGCCTTACTATGTTTGCAGCAACGTCACTGCAGCAATATTGCAGGTACGTTGCTTTTTTTAACTTGTGTACTATAATGTAATTTTAGCAAAAATAAGATATATCACACAAGTTCCTACTTATTGATAATTTATGCAATAAACTAAATCAATATTTTCACAGAGATAAACATATAATTTTTCGATGGGATAAATTGAATGAATATATAAGTAGAAAAAAATTCGAGAATTGCTACTGTTGTGGAAACATTTGTAAACCTTCCTACATATTCAAAGCGCAGCAATTGGAACCTATAATTAAAATAGCTGTAAACATAATAAGAGAGACATCAGAATTACCAGTAGTATTATATGAATATTACTGTTGCTTTCCTGAATGTGACGAGGAGGATTGATAATCTAGTAACGAATCGGATACATCTCGAAATTGAGAAGACCGACGTATAAATTAACGTTTATTCCTAAAAATTACATTGCAGGACTTTCGATTTTCTAATAAATGCCGATTACGTTAATATTTAGATGTAATATACAATCTAGTAGGAAATTAACATTGACAATTAACGAACCTGATTTCTCCTTTACGTTAGGACTAACATTCATAAGAATGTAATTCGAATAACAGTATCCGACAATACAATAGCATTTAATTCATTCTCTATAGCATGTATCAATTATTGATACATGATATAACGCAAATGTAAATATAATTAATTTGTATAATAATGTAATTGATTTGAGTTAATGTTTTGTACTTGCAGTCAAAT